AATATCCCTCTCATATTCTTTGCGGCCCATGAACAGCTATTTTCTTTTTTAAAGCACAGTCATTGGTTCATTAAAGAAGGCGTGGAAGCCAATTTGAACATAGTAACATCCCACGGGCAGATTGTAATAATGACTAGATAACCTGGTTTTTTTTGTGTGCGATGGTGATTGAGAGATACGTACTTGGCACTGGGGATGTCTGGAGAATCAAAGGCTACTGTGATTGATGGGGATGCGGAGTTTGGAAAGCGCACAGATTAGCCTGGACCTTGTTGAATGGCAGAGTAGACTTGAAGGGCTGAATGGCCTACTCCCAAATCATATGTCTCTTGCTTGTCTTCAAGGATTGTGTCACAGTCTGCTATGTGAGAGATGGTATCTCCCTCAGTGCTGCAGTACAGAAGCAGACTGAATTTTATTCAATGCTCAGTTCATGGTGTGAAACTTTCACTTACAACCTTCAGCCATAGCAGCAAGTGTTCTACCAGCTGAGTTGCTACAACAGCATGTTACTACTCTTGATTCATGGTTCATACCATGAAATAGTGTCTGAAGTGATACCCATAGTTAGTTTTATGTTAATGCTACATTATAACAGCAAATTGACAATAAAACAAATGATGTGTGTGACCCCAATTGTACCTCAGCTGATTTCCCTCGCGGCAGCTGCTGCAAAGAGATTCTTTTCGATATCCTTTGGACCAGACACTGCTCTGCCAGATCACTGTCTAATGGATGATAATATCAGGTCCAATGTATCTGAGGTAGAACAGCAATGGAAGGCAGGTAGGTAACCGTTCTCCTCAAACCCAGATTTGCAATGGAAAGTCATCCTCACACTTCCATCCTGTCTCGACAATTCTGAATATAAAACTGATGGCACCTTGAAAATCCCCCAAATAGTTTATCTCATTTTACAGTGCTCGTTGAGAATGGCAAAAAGTTGAACTGCAGATTTGAATGCTGTGTTTGCACAACAGAGTTTTCAGCTTTTCCCAGCGTAAATTGGATGGTTTGAAAAGGAAATTGTGCCGAGTAAGATCACACAGCCATGTCGACTATGCAAAGAAGATACATGGTAAAAACTTTGGAATGCATTACCTCTTGTAGTTTTTGGTGGTCTGTGTGTTTCCCAAATGCACTGTGGAAATTGAATGCGCATTGGCTATGTATATCCGCAATATCGCACATATCCTCAAAAAGCACATATTGGCCTTGATTCAGAGTAAAAGTGACACGTTGGGATCTTACTAGTCAAAAGGTTACTTAACTATCTTACCTCAACAGCGATGATTTGTATTTACGAAGTCCCTTTAATCTGTAAAACCTGTCCAGAAACTTCCTAGACAGGAGCATAAACAACTAAGAATATACAAAAGGAGATATTCAGGTAAGTATTGAAAAGCCCGAACAAAGCGGTTGATGTTAAAGTGTACCTTAAAAGAGGAGAGAGACAGAAATGCCTAGGGAAGAGCTTTGGGCCCAGTTAGTTGAGTGCTCAGCTGCTCAGGTGACATTCTTACCATCAGAGATGTATTACAAACCAGAGTTGAAGCAAAGGAATCTCAGAGGTAATTCTGGCAAAGTTGGTTTACATTGAGAGGTGCAAAACCTTGGAGGGAAATTTCAAAAAGGCTAAGACAGTTATAAAATTGAGGCACTGCTGGACTGAAGAGAATATATGCGAGGAAATTCTGATGAAGATGGTGTATGAGTGAGACCTGGTACTATCATAAATCAAACTTGCGTTTTAATAAAAGTTGGTCTCCATTGCTTTTTATTTATCCCTGATAAGGTGCTTTAAGAATTTATTCATTTCTCTTTATGTGATGAGCACTATCAAAACAAAACTTGTTATTTTCATTTTGTTATGGAAATAGACTTGCCAAGCCCATTCCTGAAATCCTGAATCATTCAAATTGAAAATACTGAACCAAACAGAAAATATGAGAAGGAGATCATTCAATTAGTGCAGAAAGAGAGAATTGTGGGAAAAATGGTGTATACATCTTAATTCATTGTTACAGAGAAAAACTCATAACTTACCCATGATAAACTCCATCTTCTCCTTAATGTGTTCTGTTTCGACAGTTAGAACTGAGATGTGTTTGTTCAGAGCTGCATTGCTCAATTAATTTGTTATTTAGAATGAATGAGGATTATTATACATGTTGACAGATTATTGAAATTATTTTATGCAATGTGAGTTGTTTATTGTAGTCGTTTCCAATAAATTCATATGTTTGCAAAGCTATGTACTTCCGACATAATAAGGTGAACAATAGTTTTAGTCCAAGTTGCCCAGCTCAGAAGATGCAAATATGATTGGAAAAAGTCTGATTTCCTTTTCAAATGTCTCTATGGAAGAATAGGCAGTGGAGGCACATCCTTGGTTAACAGGTCACAAAGATTTTAGCCACTAAATTTCATTACAGATGATCAAAAGCTTAATTTGTTTTAGACTCTAAGAATAGAACATAACTTTTTTTACAAAACAGCTGGTCAACATTTCTGCAGCATCGCGATTTCGTACATTGTCATTGTACTTGCATTCTTCAGCCTTTGGTATTCTGGCATTTTGCAAGGAGGAAACCATACTTTTGCAGAGGTAGTAGGAACTGCTGATGCTGGAGTCTGAGATAACAAGGTGTGGAGCTGGATGAACACAGCAGGCCAGGCAGCATCAGAGGAGCAGGAAAGCTGACATTTCAGGTCTGGACCCTTCTTCAGAAATGGGGGAGGGGAAGGGGGCTCTGAAATAAATTGAGAGAGGGGGAGGCGATGATAGAAGCTGGATAGTGGAGCAGATAGGTGGAGAGAAGATGGACAGGTCAAGGAGATGGGGATGAAGCCAGTAAAGGTGAGTGTAGACAGAGAATTGGGATGGGGGTTGGTCAGTGAGGAGGGAGAGGTCGGTAGGTGGGAGGGAAGACGGACAGGTCTAGTAGGCGGGTATGAGATGGGGGGATGATCTTGGGATGAGGTCGGGGGTGGGTAGATTTTGAAGCTTGTAAAGTCCACATTGAGACCGTTGGGCTGCAGGGTTCCCAGGCGGAATATGAAGTGCTGTTCCTCCAGTTTTCGGGTGGCATCGTTGTGGCACTAGAGGAGGCCCAGAATGGACATGTCGTCCAAGGAGTGGGAGGGGGAGTTGAAGTGGTTCGCGACTGGGAGGTGTTGTTGTTTGTCACAAACCGAGCGTAGATGCTTCACAAAGTGGTTTCCAAGCCTCCGCTTGGTCTCCCTGATGTAGAGGAGGCCACATCAGGAACAGCGGATACAGTATACCACATTAACAGATGTGCAAGTGAACATCTGTATAATGTGGAAGGTTTTTTTGGGGCCTGGGATGGAGGTGAGGGGGGAGGTGTAGGGGCAGGTGTAGCACTTCCTGCGGTTGCAGGGAAAGGTGCCGGGGGCAGTGGGGCTAGTGGGGAGTGTGGACCGGACAAGGGAGTCACAGAGAGAGTGGTCCCTCCAGAAGGCAGATCAGGGTGGGGAGGGAAATATATCCTTCGTAGTGGGGTCAGATTGCAGATGGCCGAAGTGGCGGAGAATGATGCGTTGAATCCGGAGGTTGATAGGGTGATATGTGAGGGCAAGGGAAATTTTGTCTTTGTTGTTATTGCGGGGAGGGGGTGTGAGGGCTGAGGTACGGGAAACGCAAGAGATGCAGTCGAGGGCGTTTTCGACCACTGAGGGGGGTGAAATTGCGGTCCTTGAAAAACGAGGACATCTGGGATGTCCGGGAGTGGAACGCTTCATCTCGGGAGCAGATGTGGAGGAGGCGAAGGAATTGGGAATAGGGGATAGCATTCTTGCAGGAAGGCGGGTGAGAGGAGGTGTATTCTAGGTAGCTGTGGGAGTCGGTGGGCTTGAATAGATATCATTTTCCAGGTGGTTACCAGAGATACAGACAGAGAGGTCCAAGAAGGAGAGAGAGGTATCAGGGATGGTTCAGGTGAACTTAAGCTTGGGGTGGAAGGTGCTAGTAAAGTGGATGAACTGTTTGAGCTCCTTATGGGAGCACAAGATGGCGCCGATACAGTCATTGATGTATTGGAGAAATGCACTCCTCCTTGACTTGTCTGTCTTCTCTCCCCCTATCTGTTCCACTATCCACCTTCTATCATCACCTCCCCCTCTCTCTATTTATTTCAGAGCCACCTGCCCCTCCCCCATTTCTGAAGAAGCGTCCAGACCCGAAACGTCAGCTTTCCTGCTCCTCTGATTCTGCCAGGCCTGCTGTGTTTATCCAGCTCTACACCTTGTTAAACCATACTTTTGCCTTGCGTTATGCTTAAAAAAGACACATTGTGTCCAATTTTTTTGTCTTGCATTCACCAGGACAATTTACAAGAACTATCGAAGCAAAGGGAAAATAACATCTTTCCTGTTTGAGAGGAGAGTGCTGATTGCTTGGCAAATGGAGTCTGATGTAATTGGACAACATTTTCTGCAAATCCTGAGAATATGAAGAACTACACTGACAATGAAATTAGTATCATCATTTGAGCTTGTAACGTGATGTAGTTGCTTGTGCTGAACATGTTAATATGTAGGACACTAGATTTTGCAGACAGAATGAACATGCGGACACATTGAACCTTTTTCAACTCCACAAAATAGGTAACCATTCTCTAGTTCATTTCTCAGTGCTTGACCAATCACAGTCAACTTTGTTTAAAATTTAAGGAAAGCTTTGAGTTAACTGTCAGTCATCATTAACTAGTTCAGTTTCCCTGACAATGCTTCTACCAATCTGAGTTTACTCGCCAATTAATCAGCACTCACCTCTCATACGAGATAAGTGTTGTTCTCCTTTTTCTTTCGTATTTCTTGTGAACTGTCTTGATGAATGCAAGCTGAAAATCTTTGACAAAATGTGCATCTTTTTAGCATGACTCAAATTCAGTGTTGCCAAACAACAATGTGCATCTTTGTTTTCTTTAGAATACATGTTGATTATATTTTATGTGGGTTTGAATCCTTTTTTGCAGACGTCTTTCATCTGAAAGTTCCTGAGTCAACCACAGTTGCTTCTGAAATTGGTAGAATAAAGGCCAATGATGCTGATATTGGGAAGAATGCAAATATAGACTACAGCATCGTGCCTGGGGATGGACTAAATGTGTTTGGGATTACCTCTAATAAGACCACACAAGAAGGAATTATAAATCTGAAAAAGGTCAGGATTGTAATTATGTTTGACACATTGTAAAGCAATGATGAAACAAATTGGCAGTACTCATGTTGCCTGAGTTGCACTTTATACTACAATAATGGTTCCTTTTTTGATGAAAATTCCTTTCAGAAATGGTGAAAAATTATGGCTAACTCACTGTCTGGTTTATTACCTCTGTCTCCCATGAAGCAAATCAGGATTTTACAAGGATTTAAAGTTTCACGGTTGAAACAAGGGGCTTATGAAGGGAAGGATGAGATGAGGAGCAATTTCTTCGGCCAGAGAGCGCTGAATCTGTGGAACTCATTGCCACAGAAGGCTGTGGAGGCCAAGTCATTGAATGTATTTAAAACAGAGATAGATAGGTTTTTAATTAGTAAGGGGATCAAGGGTTATGTGAAAAGGCAGGATAGTGAAGTTGACAAACATGTCAGCCATGATTGAATGGTGGAGCAGACTCAATGATGGGCCGAATAGCCTAATTCTGCTCCTATATCTTATGGTATTATGGATTCTCAACAGACTATGGGATTTCTTATTGTTAAATTTCTAGAGGGTAGGTTCTCAGGGGAACTTGAAATTGAAATAGGAATCCTTATCTCTGTTGGGATCTCTCGCCTTTATGTTATTGCTGTTAATTAGCTTGGATACTTGCCCCGCAACTAGGTCAGAGGCTATCTGGTGGAATTCTGTCTCTAAGCAGCTTCCAGCTGATTTTAAAAGTCGACAGAAAAATCGTTATCTCATCTTGTGATCTTTTACAAGTTCAGAGTCATTTCCTAAGTAGCCGTTGGTTATGTTGATTACACATATTGGGTAATTGTTATTTAACACTTCAAGAGTTTCGCATAGTCATGTATGTGTGTTGGATGGCCCCATTCCAGTTGATGATAATAGCTCTGGTTTCAGGAAAGGGCTTTGATTCACATCAATCTGGAATGTCTTTCTTGTTCCATTTTAAGACAGGGAAGTGGTTTCCATCTCCAAAATAAGCTAGGTGACCCTTTGATGACCATGTCTTGTAGACTCCTGTCTCCAGTTTTAAGGCATACAAATTGACTGGAAGTTCATAATACAGTATTGACAATTCAAGTGATTTGAGGGACTGCATGGTTTTTCTAATTTCTTATGATTTGATTTTGTTCAATATTTGTTAGAAATTGGAAAAATAAAACTAAATGGTTATTAAATTACTCTAGAACATTCCAAAACATTGCAATGGCTTTTCCTTTGGTCTGATTTCCAATATTACTTACCTTATAAGTCAGTTTTGACTTTGGTATATTTAATACGTGTCCTCTGGTTAAAATGACTTTATGTCTCTTTTCTTTCAAAGCCATTGGACTACGAAAATAAAAAATCTTACGTCTTCAAAGTAGATGCACTTGACCCTCATCCAGATGAACGTTTCCAATCAATGGGCCCTTTCAAAGATACAGCGACTGTGAAGATTACAGTCTTGGATGTAGATGAGCCTCCTGTATTCAGTAGACCCTTTTACATAATGGATGTTTATGAAGACACCAATGTGGGCAGTATCATCGGTGCAGTGACAGCACAGGATTCTGATGTTAGCAACAGCCCTGTCAGGTACGCCAAAAACATTCCATCAAGTCTTGAAAGATTTGCCATGAAATACATTTGAAGTGTAGTCACTGCAGTAGTGTCGGAAAAAAGTGAGGGAAGAGAAAACAGTTTGTTTCTCATTTTGTAGGAAAGATTACTGCAGATGCTGGAATCTGTACTGAAAACAACAGATGCTGGAGATCACAGTGGGTCAGGCAGAATCCATGGAGAGAAAGCAAGCTACCGTTTCAAGTCTAGACGACTCTTCGTCAGAGCTGAAGAGCAGTGTGGAGGGGACAGCATTTATGCTATAGTTAGGGGGCAGTGGGGTGTAGAGTGCTGGGGGAGAAAAGATATTGATAGTTCAGATTAAGTGATCAGAATGTGAGAGTGGTAGAACAATGGTGTGCCAGACTGGAAAGAACTGACAGTCCCACTGGGGTGGGGGGAGACGAGAGAAAACATGGTGACAGAGAAGTTCCAATTAAAGTAGAAGGTGTTCCCTTCAATTTCAATAAAATGTAAAGGCAGTTTAAAACATATTTGAGCAAATCATATGAGAGAATCAAACTAAATTATAACTGATTGTGACCGTGACTTCAGTTGGATAAGTAAGCATTATTTCTGTTTCTCGTTGCCCTCAAAGGGAAATTGAAAAAGTGAATAATCGACAAATTGAAAAAGCAAAATATTGCAGATGCTGGGAATCTTAAAAAGAAGCAAAAAATTTTGCATATGTTCTGCAGATCAGGCAGCAGCTATGGAGAGAGAACAGTGTTAATGTTCAACACATTGAACATGAGGGAACTAATTCATTGGAACTGACACAATTTTAGAACCAATTTTTTTCTTTAAAACCAATCTCACATTTTCCCAATTGTTGGCACATGTCATGGCTCGTAAAAAAGTAGTGAAATATTACATTCTTTGTATGGACAGAACTGGCATCATCTATTATATGTAATATTCCAACAATCATGCTTCTCATTATATACAGATTACACATGAATGCACAACTTAGAAGCAGAAGTAGGCCATTCAGCCCTTCAAGACTGTTATGCCATTCAACGTGACCATGGCTGATCTGTTTGTGTTCCAAATTGAACTTTCCCGAAAACCACTGATTCCCTTTCCAACACAAATCCATCTATCTCTGTTTCACAATTATTAGATGACTCCACCTCCACTGCCTTCTGATGCAGAGAGTTGCAATGTTGCATTACCCCCCAAGAGAAAAGAAAGCTCCTCATTTCTGTCCCAAAAGGAAGACCATTAATTTTAAGACAGTGTCACTTAGCTCTGGACTCAACCACAGCAACAACTATCCTTTCCACTTCCACCTTATTGAGACCATTCAAGGTTTTGTAAACTTTAACTAAATCACCTCTTACTCATTTGAACTGCAGTGGAAACAAGCCCAGCCTGTGAAACCTTTCCTCTTTTAGCACTCTGTTTATTCCATCTATCGATGTAGTACACTTCATATAATCATAGAATTGTGAAAGAAGGCCATTCAACCCATTGAGTCAACATCGACCCTTCAAAGAGCGTCCCACCCAGACTCACACCCCTACCTTCTAATTCTGCATTTCCCATGGCTAACCCACCTAGCCTGCACATCCCTGAACACCATGGGCAATTTAGTATGGCCAATCCACCTAACCTCACATCCACCTCTGAGTTCTCAGCAATGCATTTATATCCTTCCTTAACTAAGGAGATTAAAAAAAACTACACACACTATTTGAAATGTGGTGGTGTCAATGTCCATTATGTGAATTCTTTTAGAAATATCAGACTTTCAGGAACATGATAAACCAAGGACCAATCAACTTCTGCGAGGCATGAATGATCTCATGGTAATGTTGGAAGTAAGGATTTCTCGCACAGTCATGGCTGATATTCCTTCTGGAATGAACACCAATAATTATGGAATTAGTTGGCTATTTCATTTGCAGTTTTCAGGACGTTGATGTAGATATTAGTTAGGTGGATTGGCCATTCTAAATTGCCCCGTGGTGTTCAGGGATGTCAAGGTTAGGTGAATATTTGCGTGATGTTTATTTGCATAGCAACAGTGACTACACTTCAGAAGTTGTCCATTCATTCTGAAGTATTTTGAAGTATTAAGCATTGACAAAGGTTACAAGTTTTTTTTTATACAAACAGCATGTAGAAGCAATCTTCAACTATATCAGGTGCAATGAAAAATACTGGCCAAAACATGTTTTTAAGAATTTCAAACAATCTCAGGCTATTTGATTGGATATTTCTTAAGCAATCATACAATGTGTTTCCCTGCTCAAATGTGCATTGTGACCATTTGAGTGAGATGACAAAAGCCCTTGGTGTTGATGGAACTATACCCTAGCAATAAATTGTTGCCTTCAGAGGTGAAACGGGAAAAAAGAAATGGAAAGTATTTAAGAAAGAGCTTTGACTCCATGACAAAGTTTAAGGTGAAACCTAGCTGTTCTTCTGAAATGATTTGAATGTTTCATTTGGCAGTCATGAGCGGCTGATCATTTCTGAATGAAGATGCACTGATTGTGTTTCAATTGTTAATTCTTTGACAGTGGTGAATATTTTTATGAGATTGCAGTGCTGATGGGGAGCCATGTGGATAACACAGACATACAATGTTGCTCCTCGGGGTTCAATTTCCACCAATTATATTTCCTGGTTAAAGGTGTCCATCACCCTGACAGCTTCTAAAAGGAACACATTTAAATTTATCTACAGCATTGGCAAATTTTCACAACATCCTGGAGTGCTTTACACAGAAGAAATTATTTTTAAAAATTTGATCATGGTTGTTATGTAGTAGTGGTGGTGTCTCGCAGGGATTTTGTTGCTGTGGTAACACACATCTCTACATTCTTATTGTTGGCTGGAGCAATGAATAGGGATGGGAGGGGCACCAATGTTTTTTTTTCCCCAGCATGTAGCAGGCCACCCTAATCCATTAGCCTTTGCAGACAACATCTTAATTAGGGGCATGTGTAGGCCATTCAGCCCCTCGAGTCTGTTCCACCATTCAATGTGACCTGACTTTGGCCTCAACTCCACTTTCTCACAAACTCCCCGATAACAAATGACACTCACATTAGTAAAAAAATCCACCTCAGCTTTAAAAATATTCAATGAATCCAACCTTCACTACTCTCCAGAGAAGTGAGTTACAAAGACTTATGGCTCCCAAGAGAAAAAAATACACATCTCTATCTCCATCTTAAACAGAGACATGTCATTTGCAACTTGTGTCCACTTGTTCTGGTCTCTCCCGCAAATAGAAATGTCTTTTCATTGTCCATCCTGTAAAGTCCCCTCAGGATCTGGTACGTTGCAATGAAATCAGCTGTCACTCCTGCAATCTCTAAAGGAGACAGGTCCAGCTTGTCACAAAGTAAGTACTCCCTATATCAGTCAAGTGAGCCTACTCTGAACTGCATTGACATCCTTTGTTAATTAAGGAAATCAAACCTGCACACAATACGCCAGCACTTATCAGTGCTGTATTCAACTGTAGCTAAACATCTAGATTTTTATGTCCTATTCTCCGAACAATAAACAACAATCGTCTGTATTTTGTTAGAGAGTTTTGCAGGCTGATACATAAATCAATACATTATGAGTGCACCTTCCTTGGCCTTTAAGTCTTGGAGTGGCACTGAAACTCAGACCTTCTGACTCAGAAGGAGGGAGATTAATCTGTGCACCACAGGACTTCTGTCAGATAAATCAGAACCTGAAAGCTAAAGTATACAGAGCAAGCTCCCATAAATGTGAATGTAATCTGCTAACTGCCATGTTTTGACTTAAAATAGAATAAACCTCAGCAAAGTAGCACCAATGGCTAATGTAGTAACTTTGAGGAATCACAGCATTTATTAAAATGTGTAATGTATGTATTTGCTATTTCAAAGCCTGTTCTTGTTTTAGATCTAGACCAAGGTTGTAATCTAAAATGAAATTAATCAAATTGAAAATTTGGAATAAGAGCATCATAAAGGATCAAGTAGAATCATTATTTAACCATCTATTCTGTTCCAGCAATAGAGAACATAAATCTCCTCTACCATACCAATTGAATCCCGTGAAGGATAGTTTTTGCATAAATTGCCACTGATTCCCAAGGATAGCAAAACAGAACTCTGGAATGTTTATGTAAACATCTGTAGCACCACTGTTTGTCTCTGTTTTAATACTCTCCATTATTAATAATCTCTTTCTCTGTGATGCATTCCAATCTGTTCAGATGTTGCTGAATTAATGTATTATGATGATTTTGGGATTATAGCAATAGACTAATCACAGTGATCTAGTATTTTGTGCTACATTATAATAGGACCCTAATCATAGTTTAATATGTGAAATGTTTCCCCATTGATTTTGATTCTCTTAAGGGAAAAACGTATTTCAAACAGCTTTCACATTCTACTCAACATTTCAGTAGCAGTTACACTCAATATGGACATCTTTCCTGGTTACTACAGCAATTAAACTGAAATATCAAACCGATCTATTAAATGTACATCTTGAAATAACCTTCAAAGACCACAATCATTTGCAAACAACTCGGGACATCTCATTTTCAGCATGATAAACTAACAAGAAATTCAGAGGAACAGAAGGATCTTGGGGTGCTTGTCCACAGATCCCTGAAGGTGGCAGGTTAATAGGATAGTGAAGAGGACATATGAGATGCTTATCTCTATCAGTCGTGGCATAAATTATAAGAGCAGGGAGGTTATGCTGTTGGAGCTGTACAGAACTTTGGGACACCACAGCTAGATTACTGTGTGCAATTCTGGTCACACACTATAGGAAGGATGTGATTGCACTGGAGGGAGTGCAGAGGAGATTTCCCAGAATGTTGCCTGGGATGGAGCTTTTCAACGATGGAGAGAGACTGGATAAGCTCCGTTAGTTTTCTTTGGAGCAGAGAAGGTTGAGGGGGCACCTGATAGAGGTGGGTAAGATCAATATGGGTGGGGACAGAGTGGATAGGAATCAGTTATTCC